CACTAGACTGATGAAGTAGCCATACGGCCTCGTTTGAAGAAGGACATGTCATAACGCTCCGGAAACACCGTGGAGGGGAGCTCATTCCATAGTCGGATGGTACGTGGCAAAAAAGACATCTGGAAACGCACTGTCGATGAACGCAGCGGTTCCAGATGATATGGATGAACCCTGCTCCGATGATGACTAATTCTAATGCAGCAATACAGGTCATCGCACTCATTGAATTCGTCGTATAGTTTGATTTGATACTTAGCCCGGTGAGATTCTCGCTGGATCCTTAGAGGGTTGAAATTTACGAAGCAGCGGTCTTCGAGCCTAAGAAGACCTCAAACTTCTTCGAAGGCGTTCAACCACTATTAGAAAACTTACGATTTCATCTACCTATCATACTGAACGGCGTCAGAGCTACTACATCTATCGATTTAAAAAACCTCAAAACGCCATATGATAAAAAATCTCGCATTTCTATAATTATTTAAAACTAGCGGACCCGGCAGATATCGTAGTGCCTCAATCTATAAATAAAAGACCCAAACTTTTGTATAAAATAAACTTAAAACAAACAAAAGGAATCCGTTCAACGGGGGACACATCAAAGGAAAAACAAAATTGTTATTTCTATTTAAATCCCAGCATTTTACCTTTTAAACCTTCTCTGGACTTCCACAAATAATTAAGACCAAAATTAGCCAGCCTTTCTCGAGTTTTAGCGAGACTACCGAACAGCAATTCCTTTTTATAATCTATACTTATTATAGGTATATAGATGAGTCTATTACTACTCTGTTCCTTAGTATAAAATCAAAATGAATTCTCTCTTAATTCTCGCTCGGGAACAGTGATGACATTACGAATGGAAACCACATTTTTGACTGAACTAAGGAAATAAAATGCTCGTTAACATCACAGACCGTACAGACCTAAGTACGTACGTGATCTGCATTTTAATTCACGAACCTCGACCCGTGAGAGCTCTCGAAGTTAATCAGAAACCGTTCCCTGTATTATACATACATTTTCATACGTACAGGATACGTTAGATGTCGAATTGAGCTATTTTACTAAAAAAAGAAAAATGCTAGTAAATCTTTGGAGTCTACAATTCTATATCACAATTCCTCTTGATTAAATTTCGAAGTAGGGAGTCGTGTCCTTCGACTTGTGAATTGTGAAGTTTGAAACTCCTTTTAGCTCGCCATGTAAGTTCACGGCACGTTTGATTGCTTCGAACCGCCTTTTGTTTTCGATTCCAATAGTACTTTGCGATTGTTTCGATTCCCTTTTCTTATTACAGTCTTGTTTGTGTATGTAGATAAACTTATGTAGCACACGAAAAATCCGAGATACATTCAAAAGTTCCCAAGAAAAAATACATGTGTACCTAAGCGTGTTCAGGAAATAATTTAAAAAAAAGATTTCGTAAATTCTTTGAAAATCACCAGAAGCTACGTACTTACTAGAATTCTAGTTTAAGCCGGATAGCGTTTGTGCTGAAGTTAAAATATTGTAGCTATTATTTAAAGTTTCCCTCAATATTTGTAGCTCAAACACATTGACATAGCGATTTAATTAAAGCTTGCGGTTTTTAAACTCATTATATTATTTCCGACGTTCCATGTACAATAGAATAAAAGAAATGACGATATGGTCGATTTGTCCGTGACTATGAAGGCTGTAAAATATTCATTATTAACATCATCATCATCGCCCTAAAGTTGTCCACTGCTGGACATAGGCCTCTCCCAATCCACACTGAGTCCGATCTTCGGCATTCCTAATTCACCCCTTAGAGGTCATCCTTCGAAGGTCATCGCAGCACCTACCCGGGGAGCGTACCACGTGACGTTTGCCACTGCAGTCTCCACTCAAGAACCCGTCTACTCCAGCAACGTAAAATATTCAAAAAGTTCGAAACAATACAGCGACAATAAAAACGTGAAATTAAATCGTGAAAAGTAGTTGTATTTGCAGTAGCTTGGAGATTTTTTTTATTGCTTAGTTGGGTGGACGAGCTCATAGCCCACCTGATGTTAAGTGGTTACTGGAGCCCATAGACATCTACAACGTAAATGCGCCACCCAGCTTGAGATATAAGTTCTAAGGTCTCAAGTATAGTTACAACGGCTGCCCCACCCTTCAAACCGAAACGCATACTGCTACACGACAGAAATAGGCAGGGTGGTGGTACTCACCCGCGCGGACTCACAAGAGGTCTTACCACCAGTAATTACGCAAATTATAATTTTGCGGGTTTCATTTTTATTACACGATGTTATTTCTTCACCGTGGAAGTTAATCGTGAAGATTTGTTGAGTACGTATTTCCTTAGAAAAATTGGTACACACCTGGGATTCAAACACCGGTGCATCACTTAACACGAATGTACCGGACGACATCCTTTAGGCCACGACGACTCGACGACATAATACAAAATTTTCTGAACGGGGTTTTGTTGTGAGATTACGTTAACAATACTACAATTTGTGTAATATGGCAAATGTGTTAGTTGATAAAATCACTCACACAGAATTTTGCGTATAACAATAGGGTATATACGAGATTGTGGCCTTATTAATCTGAATAGGAGCTTGGGATTATAAAGGGCATTTTAACTGGCGTAAATGTAACAACGGATAAGTGGTAGCGGCAGATAGATCGTCTGTGTTTTTGTTTATGGAAGATATAAGGCAATCTCGTATACAATCGATAATTACGAGTATATAATAATATAATGGATCTCCTCCTCCTTGCGTCGTTTCCTCACTGCTGAGGGTCGTGACCATTATGCTTCGACATGATTTTACTCCTTGTAATGTCCCGCCAGCGCCCCGATCATGGGCTGCATGAAGGGCGTATAGTGGATATCAACGTCAAAAACGTTCTGTTGTTAGCTTGTCTTTTTTCCGTACCTATACCAATAGCCTTGAGAGGCTATTTCAGCTTCACCCTAACATGTAGGTGAGCTTACGAGGCTCATATCGGAAGTGTTGCTAACACTGGCCCTAGCAAGAGCAGTGCTTCGCAGAATCTATTACCGGATCGGAAACGCGACCCACTGAGAAGATCCGGCGAGAAACTCAGTGGGCTGTGTTAGCTATGGGTTAGCTTATCATTTTAGTTTATTCATATGAAACACGAAGATTGGAGACTCGAGGCATCAGCTGCTCATAGTTCTCTAAAATCAACAAAATCAAACATAATTTAATTTTAACGGCAGAGTTCCCTCAGCGCTGTCACGGTACACAGCGGCCTATCTTTGTTCCGGACATTGCCGTTGTCCACGGGCGGCGGAAACGGCATACGCCTCACGCTTCGTTCAATCTGCGACGTTAATAAAGAAAATAAACAATAAGGCACCGGCGCAAACCGTCTCACGTAGTTAATTTGTTATACAAACGAACAAATCAAATATTACAATATCTCATTCGATTATATTGCTTATTTATAGAACGTCGTTTGAATCACTTCTAATACTGATTGAATAAATGTCATTATCATCTATCATTATCTATCTATCTATCATTATCATTATTTGACACTAACTTTTTACTGGTGGTAAGACGTTTTGTGAGTCCGCACGGGTAGGTGTCACCACCCTGCTTATTTCTGCCGTGATGCGTAATGCGTTTCGGTTCGAAGGGTGGGGCAGCCGTTGAGCACTATACTGAGACCTTAGAACTTATATCTCAAGGTGGGTGGCGCATTTACGTTGTAGATGTCTATGGGCTCCAGTAACCACTTAACAATCAGGTGGGCTGTGAGCTCGTCCACCCATCTAAGCAATAAAAAAAAATATTTCTTTAAATACGAGGACAATAACCTACTTTCGAATTATAAATAAAAATTATAATTGTCTTTGTCTTCTTTGTTTATTTTTTACATTTATCTTAAGTAGAATATTTGTGATGAATGTCATTCACAATACAGATATGAGGTAACTATATTTTAAAAGTAGGTACTATTGTTCACAAATCTTGGCAAGATAATGAAGCTTTCAAAACATAAGATTACCTAAATATTTTTCACAGGACACTAATAATTAAGAGTATTTTTTACTAATACAAATTAAGATAATCATTGAAAGTAAAAATAAGGTGAACGATTGAGAGTATTTATTTATTACATATTCGTCAAAATTAATTAATTTTAAAACTCTAAAACCCGCGTGCAAAGGGTTTTAATATCAGCACAACGTACATTTTAATGACTGAGTTAAGTTATATGGTTCACTTGTTTTCACAAACATAAAAGTAGCAGCTCAGTTGAATATATGATTAAAAAGTGCGGTTGGTAGTTGTGTACGAGTATAACTGGGTCAATGAGGTCTGCGACCCACGGAGGGAAGTTGTTTCTCAAGCACCATGCACACTTGTAAGCTGGGCTCGGTAATACAAAATCAAATAGGTTCGATTGAATTAAATAATGTTACATACGTTCGTAAATTATACAAGATTATTATTGCACAAAAAAAATCAATACATACGTCGTCTTATTCTATAAGCCGACAGACAATACGCTTTCAGTCTAGCGCTCGGTAAAACCTTTCCAGAAGAAACTACTTCCAAACAGCGATTTCGAATCCGAAACTATTTGACAGGACGTGAGCTCATACGGTGACTTATGAGGAGTTTTGAGTGTCGCGTGAAACTACAAGAGGCACGGGTTCTGAATATAATATTTAGTAAACTTTAAAAGCAACGATCATCAGGAATGGAACGTGCAATAAGTTCAGCTTTCAAAATTACAACGGTACGCGATGAAGTACATAAAAATATCTATGTCGTCACTACACTTTTTTTTCTTACCTAAGCTGATAGCCTTGAGAGGCTATTTCAGCGTAACCTTAACTAGTAGGTGAGCTCACGGGGCTCAAACCGGAGTGATGTTAACACTGATCCTAGCAAGAGCAGTGCTTCGCAGAATCTACCACCGGATCGGAAACGCGACCCACTGAGAAGATCCGGCGAGCAACTCAGTCAAAATATTTACAGGAATTTATGCGGTTGCTACTTAACGATCTTACAGATTAAACGTTGTAATATAACATAGCCTACAGTATATGTATATCGGAGGTGTTTTCAGTGGTTCTTCATTCTCCTTGTCTCGCCGCTGAGGATCTTGAGTAGTCTGACGGCCGGCGCCTCGAACGCGATTGAAATAGCTAGCGACGCTAAGAAGGCCATTACCGCATACCCCGCATAAACCGCCAACTGCAATCATATACATTTATTAATTATTTGATCAGAATCGTTTACCGCCGTTCTATCGATTAGTGCCGCAAACCAAACGCGTATTTCTTCTTTTAATCGAAGTGAATAATAATAAAAATCTGTTTTCTTAGAAATCGACTGAATATTGTCTTATAATAACGCATTCTCTTCGGGTTTTTGCAAATCTTAGACATAATTAAAACTACTTTTAGGGTATAATCTCGCGTTTAGTAATTACTAGCGACCCGCCCTCGCTTCCTTCGGAAACATTAAATTTTATTATTGACTAGCGATCCACCCTCGCTTCGCTTCGGAAACATTAAATTTTATTATTGATAGGCGAAGCCCGCCATGTTGCGTGCGGTACGACTATAACTACGGGTGACGCCGCGGGGCGAAGCTAGTCTAAAAAAGTAGCCTAAGTTACTCCTTATATCATCAGCTACCTATTAGTGTAAGTTTCATCAAAATCAGTCCAGCCGTTCTAGAGATTAGCCGGAACAAACAGACAGACAGACAGACAAAAATTGTAAAAAATGTTATTTTGATGTATGTACCGTATATATATTCATTTGCATGTAGTAAAAGCGCTTATTTCAATACTACAAACAGACACTCTAATTTTATTTATATGTATATATAATCATTATAATATTTCTGTCGCTTCGAATACTTTTTACTATTTTCACTTTCACATCTAATTTAAGTCGTATTAGATCTCGTAATAGAACGGAAATTTCGGTACGCGATATGAATACACTTTCCCTTTTATATATGTACTGACGTGTTTTCATTTATCTAGTAAGACGTAGGCGTGAAAATAGAATTGGTAGCGATTTGTAATTAGCCCCATTAAGTAGTCGCGCGGCTGGCAAAGGAATAACGCGACGTTAGCAGTAAGTTAGTCGGGCAACTGCTTGTAATTATGCACCGGAGCGTGTGCTAATACACAGGTACGTGTTCGTCGTCGTGGGAAACGAGTTAGAAAGGTCGCGTTTTCCTCAAACTTGAGCCAACAGTCGGGCGTTACGTAAGCCAAGGAAACGGTCACATCGGATTCATCCAAATGATTCTTGGAATCCGTTCTCAAAGCCCTTACGTGTTTCTCTGTAAAACCGGAATATTTGCTTCACAATGACAACCCGGCTAACTTGATTGATGATCAAAGTTCAAAAGGAAATACTTCTGTAGTTCGAGTCGAACCTTGTTAGGGGAAACTACCCAAATTACGTGTAGCAAGTTGCTATAAAGACGATCCAAAATTTATACGGAGAACTTAACAAATATTTCTGAAGGCCTGATCTATGAAATTGTTTATTTGAAACAGCAAGTTTATTAGCCTTAACTAATAACTAATTGTTACAGTTAACTTATGATACCTAATCAAATTCCAAACACGAAATAACAATTATCATGATTCGGCTTTAGAGTATTTTCGGTAAAATGATGAAATTTATATTGTATGTCTTCGAATGACAAATATATACATACACCTTTAGTGATATCGAGACTATTGTTATACGGTTTTGGTCTATTTGTTTTTACCCTTTAACAATATTTGACGTAGGTGCGTATATTTTTGATGTCTTAAACAAGACTCGAACTAATAGAAAAACCATTTAGGCCTAATTCAATACGGCTCCGAGGCTGTAACGATATTCAAAAGAAATCTCCAAAGAAAAGGTCAAAGGCCATTACAAATCCATTGGGATAATATGAAACCGATGTTTGTGTTTTTAATATTAGAAGAACGGGTTTAACCGTAGTATAAATAATTATAAGATCTGCAGAATATCTTAATCATATTGTAGTGTTATATAGAAAAATAACAATAAAAGTAAGATAACGAGATTTACAATGTCATTGATTTACGGTAAACATTTGATCACGAGATGTATGTGCTTGTGTAAATCGAACGATAACTAAATATGATATAGAGGTTGGAATTTTATCCGATTCTATCTCTTTCCCACTTATTAGTTGGCCGTACGCGTGAACAGACTTTAAAAGATAAAGTAACAGACTTTAAGATCTCTCACTAAGTCGCGGTTTTAACGGATAATCTCACGCTCAACATCGCAGTGGCGCAGCGCTAATTGCCGAGCATTGTATTTCAGAATAAAAGCAGCGCGTTTAAGGCGCAATCCAGATCCAGACATCGCACTTGCTAATGTGTTAATTAAACACTTCGTATTTACTTTTGTAGTTTATCGGCTCTTCAAGATACATTTTTAATTTAGAAGGATGGATAATTTCATAGCCTATCAGATGCTAAGCGGCACTGGAGTACATAGACGTGAATACTGCTACCGTGAGACATTAAACTGAGGTCTGAAGTGTATGAAGAAAATTAAAGTTGTTAGTAATCTTCTTTTAAGCGAAACGTATGACTGCTTCGCGGCAGAAATATTCTGGATGTTGGTACCTACCCGCACGGGCAGCGGCTCTCAATACGACAATTATTAAAGTATTCTTCTAAGGGAGCTCTTTAGAAACATTGTCCTATATTCATGAACCAGAGAGTGTCACGAGCGACTCTTTATCCCGGCAAAATGTAACGTATTTCATTATTTCTGAATTACTTTATTATTTAAAGCGGGTGAAACCGCTCGTCGCCTCTCCCTGGACACAAAGCCAAAGGGAACACATAGTCCGTATTCCAATTAAATTATCCAAAAATATGTTTACAAAGGTTACACTGATGTTTATATATAATTTGCACGTTTGCCAAGGTTCGGTCTTGGCGTTTATTTTCGGGTGTAAGTTGGGTTGTCGCCGTGTGAAATTTATTGCCGCAATAAGACACGGCCGCGATTTAATCTCATCCTGAATTCCGACTCAAATCGATAAACCTTTGTTTTAATAACGTTGACTTTTTGTTTGGAAGCGATACTATCGGATTACGTTGAACGAAATAAATTGTTAAAAATAAGCTTTTCGTATTTTAGATTCATATGTTGCGACAGCGATAGCCACGTATAATTTACAAGGATTATAATAATGTTTATATTAATTACTGTCGCCCAATATATGACCTTTCTTCATTATGGATAATTTAAATTAAAAATTACGAGTATTTGAAACCTAGTTATAACGTATCAGAAATTAAAAGTAATTAGAAGTAAGGAGTTTTTTTTTTTTTTTTGCTTATATGGGTGGACGAGCTCACAGCCCACCTGGTGTTAAGTGGTTACTGGAGCCCATAGACATCTACAACGTAAATGCGCCACCCACCTCGAGATATAAGTTCTAAGATCTCAGTATAGTTACAACGAGTTAATTAGAAGTAATGTTTTATTGAACATAACTATATAGAAGTGGATGACTTACCAACGAAATAACTTATACTTTTAATCGGTAGTTAGGTTTAACAGCAATTTAAGAAACTTGCGTAATTTTCAGTGCTTTTAAGTTTAATAGCCGAGTTGAATTTCACTAGTTTCGCAATTAACTATTTAGTGCCCGGTGCGCTTTTCTTAACGTACAAAACCATATTAGTTGGTATTCCAATGCCACCACATGCATATCTATATATTAATACGTGAAGCAGAAACTTTGTACTCCTTTTTACGAAAATTGCGCGGGCGGAGGAGTATGAAATTTCCCACACTTATAGAGAATACAGAGAAGGAGTGCAGAATACTAATATATTTTTTAAATCATGCATCAATAATACATTAAATCAATAAAAAAAACACGACACACACTAACATGTATTCGACATACACACACATATTTCAATTCTTTGCTTATTGTCAAACTTTTGTCATTGCTTTATTTTAGTCTGTGGTCAAATTGAGAATGGGTTAAATAGGTATTGTTTATCTTTATATTTATTTGTCTATAGTGTAATCGAAATCTGTGATTATGGAAGTATAATAATCTTTGACAATAAGATCCTTAATAATGTTCAAACTTATAATTTCAGTTAATTATAGTCGAATTTCGACTACTGCGGGACCACTAGTATATAAAATTTCATATTAACTCGACCTATTGTTCCAAAATTAAAATCACTGTCAAAGAGCTTATAACACACCCACACACACATACACATACACACATATTACAGTATCTACATGATAAAAAAATTAGAATACTCACAACGGTAGAGTTTTCCATGTGAAATGGTCCGTCGAGTAAGAAGGATGTGTACATCATAATGGTTGGATGCACGAGGTATGCGCAGTACGTGAGCCGACTCAGCGGCAGTAGTCCGCGGTACGACAGTGCCGAGTTCACTAGACCACCATATCCGCTGCAGCATGAGACAGCCACCCACGCTATAGCTACGCCCCAAGCTGGAGTAACAACACAACAATTAGTAATTTTGAAGTCGTCGTGGCCTAAAGGATAAGACGTCCGGTGCATTCGTGTTGAGCGATGCACCGGTGTTCGAATCCCGCAGGCAGGTACCAATTTTTCTAATGAAATACGTATTCGACAAATGTTCACGATTGACTTCCACGGTGAAGGAATAACATCGTGTAATAAAAATCAATCAATCAATTTTTTACTGGTGGTAGGACGTCTTTTCAGTCCGCACGGGTAGGTGCCATCCTGCCTATTTCTGCCGTGAAGCAGTAATGCGTTTCGCTTTGAGGAGTGGGGCAGCCGTTGTATCGTTAAAATTGAGACCTTAGAACACTTGTCCTAAAGTGGGTTTCGGCATTTACTTTATATTATAGATATGTATGGGTTCCGGTAACCACTTAACATCAGGTGGGCCGTAAGCTCGTTCAACCATCTAAGCATAAAAAAGTAATTTGTTTTTATCTTATAAATGCAAAAAGTTTTGGGATGTTTTAAATGAATAACAGACCATTCGGATTTTTGTAAAACTACCATTTGAACGAACGTTTAGAGAAAATACTTTATGCTAAGCAGCACACGGTAACTGATTCTGCCATGCGCCGATGTCAATGGGTAGTGATGATAACACGCCATCATCGATGAGGTAACTCAACTCAACTGTTTTAATCAGCTAAAAAACACTGTATTAAAGCCGCAAAAAACACTCTATTAAAGCCGCAAAAAATGCCTAAAGAATGAAAATAAGATAATTTTTGCATAAGATGTACAAAAGTTCTTTTTAGAAATAATACATTTTTTCACTAGATTAGTAAATATGTAGTAGTTAAGTATAATCGTTGACCTCCAAGATTGGTACGCTTTACAATGCGGCCACACAACGTTATTACTTAACATAATTACTTAAAGGAAAGTAGGTGAGCTTGAATCAGCAAATTACTATTGTTTTATGTTATGAGATCATTACTAAAGTTAAATTATATATTATGATTACGGGTCCGGTTTCGGCATCAACCTCCATTACATTTCGTATACTTAATAGGCGACAAAAAAGGCAAATTACGACAAACTTTTTTCTTAAATGGAAAATTAGACGAATTACGCAGGAGCTTTTATGCGTTTCGGCCTGAAGGGTAGGGCAGCCGTTGTAACTATACTTGAAACTTTAATCTCAAGGTTGGTGGCGCATTTAAGTTGTAGATGTCTATGGGCACCAGTAACCACTTAACACCAGGTGGGCTGTGAGCTCGTCCATCCATCTAAGCAACAAAAAAAAAAGCTTCTGCATGATAAACTAAAAGGTTATTTATTCTACAGTACATGTAACCTTGGTAGCAACACATAAATCGAAGTTATGTACCGAACGCCGAATATGTGTAGGCAATTTGAGTGACAGTTTATCTCGTAGTTCGACACAAGAAAATCATTTGTAGCTCGCGAAAAGTGACTTTATGTGAAGTGTATAGACTTTCTGTCACTTTTCCCCAGTCGACAGTCGTTTATTGGTCACGTAAATTGATAAGAATTTAATGTTAATACAATTTTTTTTATTTTCTCTATAACAATCCACGCATTTCAAAGCATCAGCTACTTTTATAAATGTTGTTTAATACGTTTGTATATAAATGAAATTGCGAAGTCGCCGTCCACGCGTGTTTCGTATTTGTGACCTGATAATAATCCCTGGCGGGTCATATAGGAATAATTAATTGAGTTCAGAACAAGTGCCGTTGGATAAATTTTATAAAATACACGACAAGCCTACTTAGTTACTACGAGCCTACTAAGAACGTTTACTTTGCTTCTCCGCTTACATTTGACACAAGAAACTATACGCTAACTGAAAAGGTTAAGAGGAAATAAATAATTATCTGAAGTAATTTGACATTCGCACATATAGCCAATCATTAATAAACATTTTCTTTGTTGCCCCTTTATTAATTTGGATGTGAGCTTAGTACAAGGAATAAGATATATTATTTGATATTTAGACTGCATATAAGCGTATACTCGTTCGAAATGTTTTCATTAAAGCTCTTGACTTATCAGCCGATTTAAACAACATTCAGAATCCGATTTATTCAGCCGTTGCACGTATCTACACGAGGCTTTAATAGGAATTATGGAGACTATTCCAGAGGGGGAAACGCTGCATTCGAAGATTTAGTACCAAGACGCTCATGTTTAATGTATTCGGAGACTCCCAGGACATGACGCCGAAACACATATGTTGCAGCTCACCGCATACTACATTATTTCATATTATGTACACATATTTTCGACAAAATATTGACTAGTATTCATCCAATTATTTTTTACCCTATCTGTCAGATAAGTTGCAGAATTATGGTTCTAGTCATTACCAAAGAAAAACTGTCACTTATAGATTATTATTTTAGTGTTAGTTGATTAAGTAAAGCGCTATCTAAAAAGTGGGTAGTATCAACAGTTTTTTTTTTTTTTTTTTTTCTCTTTCGGGCCGAGTGTCAACAGTGCCTTAATCCCATTACTTGTTTGCATCTTCTAAAAGTTCTTATTCACAATTAATTCTGTTGCACGCCCCATCAAAGACAGGCACGCGGCAACACAATGAAAAAGCGACGTGAATAGACTCGACTTAGATACTTTTTTACATATATAGTTAAACAGATTTGTCTTTAGTTCGATAACTATTTATATTTGTTAAATTCCATTTTCATTATTATTTTCTGAATTAGCTAGTCGACGAGCTAGTGTTATAATAAGAAAAAAAGAAAATAATTAGATATTTCCTACCATTACAAAAAAAAGTACCTAAATTAATACATATAAATCTTAAGGCGATTAAGGTGGGCGGACACTAGTTGGAACAAACTTTAACATCTATTTTCTACACACGTTCAACTTATGTATTTTGTGTGTTATAGTTTTCGGGGTTCGATTTCTTATGTGCTATTGGAAGTAAAAAAAAAATAGTTCCGTCGATCTCAACTAAAATGTTAAATGGGCTCAAACATTAAGAATATGTCTGTACATAATACGTACGTACACCCAGCGATCTTGGCATTGTCTATACTTAATATTTAAAGAGAAAAGATTTGTTTGTTTGTTAGTATTGAATAGGCTCCGAAACTACTGAACCGATTTGAAAAATTCTTTCACTGTTTGGAAGCTACACTATTCTCGAGTAATATAGGCTATAATCTTTTTTCGAAATAATTAGAGATCCTTACTAAAACTCCAATAATGGAACCCAAGGTGTAAAAAATTACCTAAAATATTCTTTACATTGCGTGCCCTGCGAAAACTATTGATGATAGAATAAAATAATGTACAGCGACTTTGTGGAACACATTATTATTTACAAAAAGTGTCCCGACAGCGTATGTCTAACTATTATAGTTATGCCGCAATAAGTGTTCTATTTTATTTAAAAAAAATAAAACATTGTCAAATATCGTTGAAATTTTTGTTAAAGACCCGAGCGGAGTCGGAGAGGGCCGCTAGTGTATAATAAAATGGAACGTGAATAAGACGTTTTTAATGCGTCGGATTAAACGTATACGAGAGTCTTGTAAGTGGGTACATGTTGAGACGCAGGTGCATTTTCCACGGTCTCAATTTCGACAAATTCCGTAATATGCGCGAAATCTCTTACAATTTGTTAGCAGACGGGCGAGATTGCAGTCGGGATGAAACAATTTGCCTTTTCATCGGTTATTGTTGTTTTCAAAAGATGAACTTCGGAGAGAAGATTTGATTATTTTTACGCTAAGAAAATTGGTTACGTAAAGAAAATATATATTTTTTCTAGATGTTGTTCGTGTCTTTTAGTCAGCTTCATTTTGAGGTTGACATCATTATTGACACTTGGAAAATGTGTCACACATCTATTCGTTTTCATAATAATTTATGAAATGAAAAACTGTTTATTATAAATATTTGTTAGTATAAAGAGCAACAAAACTTAGAAACTATCGGGGATCAGTGACATAACGTCCTGAGAAAGTTTTTGATTTAATTGAGTTCTAGTTTCATCATCATTATACTGAACTCTTATATTAGCATGTTTAGGTCTCTAATTAATGTAATCATATTACATATTAAAGTGAAACTTTTTTAGGCGCGTTGAGAGTAAAATTTAACTCGCGACAGATTCGTTACGGCTAGAGAGAAAAGATACAATTTAGGAAGAGCGAGAGTGAGAAAATAGATAGAACGTCTCGCGAACCACTCGACCGTGGAGAGAGATATACACGCAGCATTTTCTATTTTAAGATAATTTTGATTAGGGGATTAAAAACGGAGAAAACCACAATACCGCACACCGCAAAAGAAGTTTCAATTTTTTCACGTGCACCAGTTGCACCCTCATCTTATTTTTTTTTTATTCTTGTGGCATCTCAATCCACCTGACCTTAAGTAGTTATTGGAGCCCAAAGACATCATAGCGTGACTACCGATTATTTGAGACACGAGGTATATCTTTAAATTATATTGTACAAGTTGCGAGTCGGTTTTTTTTATTTTATTGCTTCGCTGGTAGGACGAACTCACAGCCCAGCTGCTGTTAAGTGGTTACTGGAGCCCATAGAAATTTACAACGTAAATGCGCCACCCACCTTGAGATATAAGTTCTAAAGTTTCAAGTATAGTTACAACGGCTGCCCCACCCTTCAAACCGAAACGCATTACTGCTTCACGGCAGAAATAGGCAGGGTGGTGGTACCTACCCGATCGGACCCACAAGAGGTCCTATCACCAGTAATTACGCAAATTTGGTTTTTATTACATGACGTTATTCCTTCACCGTGGAAGTCAATCGTGACAATTTGTTGAGTGCGACGTATTTCATTAGAAAAATTGGTACCCGCTTGAGATTCGAACATCGGTGTATCGCTCAACACGAATGAACCGGACGTCTTATCCTTTAGGCCACGACGGCTTCATTGTGTGTGGGATGTAACAAAATGTATGGGTTTGTACTTGAAATAATTAAGACTTAATAAAATCATAAGTAGATAAATGTTATGATTTGTAGATCCTGTTTGGATATTACAGTTGTGGCTAGTTTAATTTATTTATTGTAATGTTTATTAGCGACCAAACATTTTATAGGTAACACTATTTATATTATATTAAAATGTGATATTTTTTTATTGTGATTCTACCCAAGATTTGCAATAGTGCATACTTACTCTGAATTTTTCCAAGTAGTATAAATGTCATCAAATTCATATAGAATTTTATTAATATTTAGAGCGTTAAGCCGTCATTCCGCTCTTGTTACATTTCATTGTATAATTACATTGTATGAATAAATAATTTAAGAATAAGTGCGTACCGGTATGTCCAATGCTGATGTAGAAGGCAGTGGGCCACACGTTGAAGTACCCGTCGACCATGCTGAAGATGAGACAGGCGATGATGGCGAGGGCGCTCGGCCAGCCCAACGCCACCAGCCAGTACGGGATCCGCTTCTGACATCTAGTCTTGTGCAGGTACCAGCCCACTATCATACCTATACGTTATAATGTCCGTTATGGTTATCAATGTTCCTTTCAAATTTACACATAATTAGGTAGATTTATATATTTATTTATTACACTTCATGTAAAATTTACATTGGCGGACTTAATGCTTAAGGCATTCTCTACCAGTCAACCAAAGCTAGTGCCGAGTGAATAGTGGTAGGTGCAATGAAATTCATATTAATTTACAAATACATACACAAAAAAAAGTATATACATACATATATACACAATCACATATTATTATACATACATACATACATACCTACATACATATAATAGTTTATACAGTATTAAAAATAATATATTAATAAATTTCCTTAACAAATAACTTTATCTTAATAAGTTCATGACGATTCCGCTCTTTTCCAACAACATTCGCCGAACCCTTAACTTGAACGCGCAACGGTTAGTAATAATAGTCCTGATCACGAAAGGGAGCGCATTCCACAGCAGAACAGATTGCACGACGAAAGAGTTACGAACATAACTAGAACTATGTGTGGGACAACGAATTAATAGGCTATAAAGAGAACGTAGGGCCTGCTCATAGCTGGAGTGAAGATATTGAAAATAGGGAGTTAGATAGGAAAGAGGTCCGGGAGACATAAGTAAGGAATGGAGAGTCGTCAGTGCACGTAAATTACGACGCTGGCGAATCGGCAGAAGTTTGAGCTGACCACGATAGGAAGATATATGATCGTATTTACGAAGATTAAAAATAAATCGAATGCAGTTGTTAAGAAGACGATCAAGTTTATTAAGAAGGTCTGCATTCAGGTCAAAATAACACACATCACCGTAATCAGTTATAGGGAAGATCAAGGCTTGTACTAGCATAGTAGATGTGGTTTAAAATTTTACACGTAGACTAAAAACTTTTTACAGCTTCTGATACCAGTTAGAATGTATTTCTTAGTCGTCTCTGAGGTTATCGGAAATCACATCTCAAATGCGGCCTTGAGACAAAAAGCCGTAGATTAGTATAACGACCCGAGTCGATCTTCAAACAAAATCGCCTGAAATTGATTTAAACTCATTTACGTTATAGGCCGAAGCGAAACCGAGTTATTCTGATTACGTCCTTCAAAATTCACCGTCCACGACAAAACGAGAGATCGTTGAAATGACAACGTCGAGTTGAAACATTCCAACGACTTGTTATCGAATACTCGAGTCGTCCATTCGGTTTTTTTTGAGAGGGTTTTTACGAGCGGCACCCTGACCTACGGAGAGGAGCTGAAACGTTACGAGAACTCTTTCAAAAGGATCGATAAGAACGTAAAAGAGACGCTTCTCGTGCGATTCCAATTTCCAAAGGCCCGTGATAGAGTTCTTTGTTTGCCTAAGAATATTTTTAAGTGCACGTAATTCATTGTTTATACTGAAATTGTATTTAAGAACAATTAATATAAATTTTGTGAACAGTACTAATAGATTTAAAACTGATGTATTTATAATATATTTTTAATTTATTCGTATGTATAAATTATGCTAAATTTAATACTCTTCGTACGCGAAATATGCTTAAAAAGAGGACAAAGTTGTATACGTTTCAACATTTATTATTAAATCATTTAAATCTCTATTTAGCATATTTGTATTTATAAATACTGAATTATAGAAGTTTTAGGTCAATATAAATGTAGTATAATTTCACTGAGAGCAGTTTCTAACATCATGAATTTGAATGAAAAAGTTTTTTTAAATACAAAAATCTCCAATAAGTGATGTGACGATTCCGAATTTTGAACATTGAGATACACTTATATGGCCTAAAGGGTCGTATGACGTATAATATTCAATAAGTTGGTGCTATTGTAATTCTTTATTTGTTATTATTGTTTTCTGTATTCTCCATCCATATCGACTTATTCTTCAACTTTAATGACATGGGGAAGAAAGTTTGAATCACTCGCATCGCATTCCAACCAAACTTTTGGGCTCAAAGTTTTGTTTCACATAAACTCCGCCATTTTATTTGTTTACAACAGTAAGTTCCTTGTTATTGTATTTATAGGAGTGGATCAATGTGATTCAATACCAAAATACTGATAAAATGCAAATTGTTTGGAAAGTAAGCCATAAATCAATTTCGGTATTAATCGAGTGTTATTATAAAAACTAGAGGTCCCGCAGTAGTCGAAATTCGACTATAATTGGAATTGTAAGTTTGTACACTATTATTATTGTATTTGATACTTCTATAATCACAAATTTCGCCAAGGCCACACTATAAAAAATATTAATAAAGACAAACAATATTTAATCTATTCTCTATTTGATATATGCATGCGTGTGTGCGTCAAATACATGGTATGTAGTGTCTGTAATGTTTTATTTATTGATTTAATGTATCTTTTATGCATTATTTAAAAAAAATATTAGCATTGTGCCCTTCTTCTCTATATTCTTTATAGGTATAGAAAAATTTCATACTCCTCTGTATGCGCAATTTTCGTAAAAAGGGATATAAAGTTTTTGCTTCACGTATTAATATATAAATAGTTATTCAGATTTAGTCTACGGAAATTTACTGTAGAAGCGACAGTCGTATCGAACAAATAAGATATTGATTTACAGATCAATTGAATTGCCGAAAGGTAAATTCGGATGATTACGTCACGTATTCAATTTTATATCGGGAGGGTGTCTCGGAATTCAACGTCTTGTTGAATTCGGGTTCATATTTGATTTGACCATCCTTAAAATATTTTAAAATTGGAAATGTAAATTTTACCGATCTTATTTATGAATCTTTCAAATCGATACCTTTCAAATCTTTCAAATCGATACTATTTTGTAAGTTTCGCGTTTCATAAACTAACAACGCTAACTCTGACAGCCTATTCGTAAATGGCAAAACTTAATTTGAAAACTGCACAAGCAAGTTTTTATCTCGCATTTATATATTTTAATTTTATTACTTCCGACATTGTGTTCGTATGAAAAGGAATGAAATATATCAAGAAGGCGGTAGTTAGCACGACATTCAAATGTTGACGAATAACACGTCACACGACCACGAAAACTGTAGTCCTCAAAACAACAAAGACAACAAACCAACCATAATTATATGTCTATGACCACTAACAAAAACCGAAGAAAATGGCAATGCTTTGTTTGATCACAATTCCAAACAAAGCGAGAATAGCAAAAGTCTAAACAAATGTTATTTGATAATATTAAAAAAAAAAATTGAAGCTAGCATAATGAGGAAAGTAAAAAGTTTCCTAATAAACTTAATAGACTCTAATAGAATGTTATTTTTCAAGCTTCTCTATTTCACAAGGAAAAATATAGCTCGAATTTTAACAATCGAACCTGAACATGTACTGAAAAGTTTTTCAAAGGGAGTAAAGTGCCCTTTGAAAAACTTTTCTATAACATCCAATTTGGAGCGAAAGAACACCTCTTGTTTTAATTTCGTTCAGCAGAATGTCGTGTATGGCTCTCGATTCGTTTTGATAACTTTCCAACCTACCTACATCTCGTTCATAATAAGTCCGGTCTTAATCGAGACTCTTTTAACGAGGAAATATAGAGAGTATTAAATTCAAATTTAAGAGTTGTGATTGCACGGGAAAAGCGGACTTAAAGATTTGATTGCAAAGGGTATTTTTTACGACGGTGCTTAGTGTATGAATTACCACTGTTTAGGGATTATTATCAAATTATATCGTTGATAATAAAAAAATTAAAAAAATATATGTTTGTAATGTACAGAAAAATTTAACTTGTATGTTTCAAATTCAAATTGAATCAAATTTCACAGTGTTCCTAAATACAATAAATAATAAGTAGCAGAAGCATATATTTTTTATTGTTTAGATGGATGAAAGAGCTCACACAGCCCACCTGGTGTTAAGTGGTTACTGGAGCCCATAGACTTCAACAACGTAAATGCGTCACCCACCTTGAGACATAAGTTCTAAGGTCTCAGGTATAGTTACAACGGCTGCCCCACCCTTCAAACCGAAAGGCATTACTGCTTCACGGCAGAAATAGGCAAGGCGGTGGTACCTACCCGCGCGGACTCACAAGAGGTCCTACCACCAGTAATCTAAGATCTCAGTATAGTTACAACGGCTGCCCCACCCTTCAAACCGAAACGCATTACTGCTTCACGGCAGAAATAGGCAGGGCGGAAATTTATTTAGCAGAATTATGTGATAACGTATTTGTCCCTAAAAAGTTTTATTACATTTGAATGTTTTTTCGAGTCCAACGAAACGTGAAGTGACAAAACCCAATAATGGAGTTAAACCGATTCCCGGACAGATAGGATTACGGGATCGGGCGGCCGGGAACAGTTAGCATCGTACAGGGGAACAATAAACGAGAATAATTAACATGACTTATTTAAGGTTTTTTTTTCTTTCTTTTTTTTTGTCATATTATTATGAGTATCATACAGTATGTTATGTAATACATATTGTATTTGTATGGTTTTTAAATAGTCATCTGTGTTTTTCAAAATTGTGTTGCAAGTATTTAAATGTTATTCGCAATCTACAATGTGAGTTACAAAAAATGTAATTTGAATAAAACATTACTATTACAAAGTATATATCGGAGACGTTCATTAGTTTGGTAGCTAAACGAAACGCAGCACGATCCCGAGAGATCCCGGCTAACTTCGTGCTACGACAGAGCCTAGCCGATAGAGCCGCGTAGACGCCATCACAGTCGCACATACCATCCAGCCTTCTTGAAGAGCGGTGCCTCCGTCCTAAGAACTGTCATTCATTTTCACAAGAAGTCAAGAGAAGATTTCGAAATTGTTCTAAAACAACAAACGTGATTGGTGTACTCAATATTTCTCTTAGCTCGATCACCCTATTTGCCCCTACGATGTCTGACGATGGTGTTAATAATTGTGGCTTCTCCGACGTATGTAGGTACATGGTATAATTATAAGGTATGGGTATACTTGTATAACTAACTAAAAACAGAAATATAATCTGTCTATATGTTTGAAGGAACAAAGGTCCAATATATGTTTAGAAGAAATAAAAAGGAATTGCCAAGCTAAGGTTTCGTCTTAATCCCGAAATAGAATTCAATGAACTCTGTAATAATTCACGCATTTCGTATCTATATATATCGGATTACACTGCTAGTTATAAAATTTAAAGATCTATTTTTTATTGCTTCAACTGCTGTTGAGCTACTGAGGCCCATTGACATTAACAACGCTGTCACCTATCTTGAGAACTCATGTTCTAAGCCTCAGTTTTATAGTCTTTTCTTTCTTTATGATTGAAGAATTGCTGGTGGCCTGGAGGCCTTTCCAGTTTCACCAAGAAAGGTGGGCGAGCAAAGGCTCAGCCAGGAGGGGTGGGATTTGCTAACCGCTGGCCGAGCGCCTCCGAAGGAGACCTAACAACTCAAGAGCAGCTGTTTCGCGAATGAATCTACTACCGGATCGGAATCGCGATCAGCTGAGAAGATCCGGCGAGAAGCTCAGCGGGCTGATGTGCTCCTAGTGTTAGAGCTGAAGGCGTTTAATGCAAGAATTATAATAGTGATAGCATTACAACCACGCATTTTGTAAATATCGAATTACATTGCTAATAGTATTAAAGAAGCAATTGAAGAGTTTATTAAAATAACAGGTTTAAATTACGCTAGAGACATGTATTTACGGGGAATATATCCTCACAAAAAAGCACTACATCCGTATTAAAATCTCAACTACTCAATGGCCGGTTTATTTATAACGAACCAAGCTTTATACGACCGCAGTACGCTTTCGGAACGGTCATTGAATAGTCTACGTGAGGTTTGTAAATGTTAGATTAGTTTTTATCCGCTTACCGACTAAATACGGTCCGATCCTTGACCAGGGCTTATCGTATAAAGGGTCGAACATTTCAAAGGGCTCCTGTATCCTCGCTTTGTACTGTAGCCAAACAGATATATAGATGGTCGTCGCCCAAGAACTCAACATGATCACGCCTAATGACCCGAACGCGATTTTCGGATGTCTGAAACAAACAAAAAAACAATAATCTATACATATAAATAAAATTAGAGTGTCTGTTTGTAATATTGAAATAACCGCTTTTTACTACATGCATATGAATATACATATATGCTTTATATTATACACCAAAATAACATTTTTTACAATTTTTGTCTGTCTGTCTGTCTGTTTGTTCCGGCTAATCTCTGGAACGGCTGGACCGATTTTGATGAGACTTTCACTAATAGGTAGCTGATGATATAAGGAGTAACTTAGGCTACATTTTTAGACTAGCTTCGCCCCGCGGCGTCACCCACAGTTATTTTCGTAGCGCGCGCAACATGGCAGGACTCGCCTATCAATAATAAAATTTAATAGTTCCGAAGCGAAGTGAGGGCGGGTCGCTAGTAAGTAATACTTTTGTGGGAATAGTTTTGTTCTCAACAATCGGCTAATTGCCGTCTCCACCAATCAGGGGAGCCTAATTGAATAAAATGTGGTTGTCGAGAATAATAACTTACGAGGAATAGAGTAGCTTTGCAAACTAAGAGATCGATATATTACACAAATAAAGTAAAAAAATACATACTTAACAGAAATGAGCAGCAATATGATCCCGACGACATAGAACTGTGTGTCATTGGCCATGTACCACGACCAGACCATGCACATCTCTCGTTGTGGATACAAATTGTTGATGTACAATAGGTTCCTCCACCACCAGTTGTCGCAGGTGATATGGTCGAAGATCGCCGGCTCGAACACTGTGTGATCGTGGGTGTACCTTAAAGCGATTTCATTAACGCCGATCACGAAGGCGTAGGCTGGTGTGAGTCTAACCACGCGATACGATAATAAAATCATAAAGGATTTTATCATCTTGTATATTTCCTCTTTGGTGTACGATTTAGTCTTTGATTCAGTTATGAATGTGTCTTGGCTGATCACTGAAATGGAGAGCGCGGGGCTCGTGAACCCGTTCATGTTTTTGTTGATGTCCTGTTTATCTTCCACGATTGGTTTCGGCTTGGACTTTTTCTCTTCAGTCCGCAAAAACAGAATCGTGACAAGTATCCCGCTGAAACGAAAATAATAATTCCATAAGTTTGACGGACTCGGTGGTGCAGTAGTTAGCGATCCTAAATGTTGCGCCGAGGGTCGTGGGTTCGATTCCCACGTCGGGTAAGCGTTGTGTGCTGAACTGGTTTGTTTGCTCTTTGCATGGCTGTTTATTATCTATATATTTATACGTTTAAATATATATAAGTATGGTTATCAGACTCTAGTACCCATTACACGGAATTCTAAATTGGGGATGACCGTGTACTATTTGTTCCCAGTTATTATTATTATAAGTCATTTTTTCTTCCTTTATTCGTATCATTTGTAAATTATTATTTTTTTCAATGTACTACGCCTAATAAAGTCTATTCAAGAGAACGAAAGGTGGAGTCAATTTCAAACTACATTGTAATCCACTTTATGTCGTTATAGAAGGCTTTATATTTTACCCCAAGTGCGCTGAAATGTATTACCGTAATAGTGTTGGATCGAGGTCGGTCACGATTTTCTTTCACAGTACATGAACTATGTACCGGAAGATATAATACAATGTTTTACACACAAAACTAACCATATGCTAAAAGAGATTGGGATCAAAATTAAGAACGATTGTGTATTACTTGTAACTATACTGAGACCTTAGAACTTGTATCTCGAGGTGGGTGGCACATTTACGTTGTAGATGTCTATGGGCTCCAGTAACCACTTAACACCAGGTGGGCTGTGAGCTCGTCCATCCAACTAAGCAATAAAAAAAAATAAAAAAAACTTGGAGCATCAAAACGAACTGTGATTAACCACATGACATCTCACACCGATGACTTCTTTGCAATAATGCGGAAGAGAAGTGCATCGTTATTGCGTCGAGTCAGAGATAGTGGCAACAGTCTTCTGAAAATCATATCGAGGAACTGCTGATTAATAAATAGCCTTTGCAGCAGGCACTTGGTATGTGTTAGCCTTTATTCCTTTTTTTAGGTTACTAACATAGATTATAAGTAATTCTTACTAACAAAATGTTATGGTTTAAAAAAAAACTGAAATAAAGTAAAAATTAATTAAATAAATTAATGAGGTTTTACATCAGGGCTTAGTGTGGTTAGGATTGGATCCTAAAATAGATAGAATACCTGATGACGAAGAAAGTGTCGACGCAATAAGAAGCGTTACCAACGGACTGATACCAGAAACTGCGTTCTGTGATGACACGCATCGCCTTGTTGTCAGCCACATAGAATATTGTCAGGTAAGTGTGAACCATTATCACCCATAACACCGACATGAACCTGGAATGTTATAAATTAACCGGTGTTAATCACGTCTCAACGCAAACAGAGGGTTCCCAGTAATTTGGCGAATTAATTTAAAGACATTTGCGTCTGCTTAGCTTGCATTAATCAAATATACAGTAAAACTTATATTTTCGTCGTTCGAATCCCAGTTGAGATACCTATAGTCTAGTATACTGGAGGATATTATTGTTACAAACGACAATATTATTTTTACTATTTAGTAGTTTATTTTCAGTAAAATTCAGTAGTAGTAAAATTTCAGTCTTTTTATAGGACTGGTGGTAGGACCTCTTATGAGTCCGCACGGGCAGGTATCACCACCCCGCCTATTTCTACCGTGAAGCAGCAATGCGTTTCGGTTTGAAGAGTGTGGCAGCCGTTGTACTGTTAAAAAAAGTGAGACCTTACAACTCATGCCTCAAGGTGGGTGGCGGCATTTACGTTGTAGATGTCTATACCAGATGGGCGGTGAGCTCTTCCATCCATTTAAGCAATAAAAAAAAAGTACGTTAAGTATGAAATATATAATTAAGGACGCGCTAACCTCATTCCATGAAGACACGTGAGAGCGCCGTCGCTAGGGGTGTCCGTGCTCAGGATCGTACGACCGTTCGATAATATTGAGAAGGATAACAATACCTCCGAACATACACCTGTCAAAAGATATGAGAACAAATTTTAATCCATTTTTTTTCTATATTGTGTTCTAAATAGACGGTAATGTGAGGAGAAGGCACCCTAAAGAATCTTGGATGAGCTTTCTGATAGAGGATATGCGAGAGTGTGAGTGTAGAGATGATAGATAGGCCTAAATGGGAAAAAAGGACACGCTGTGCCGACCGGTCATCGATATGCGACCGGTACATAATTTGGGATAAGGGCAAGGTGAAGATCTTTCTAATTTTGATTTGTTTGTTGCTTGGTTCTTTATGCGACCCGTTGCATGATTAATCGAAGCCACATGAGGACAAAATCTCATTTGTCCAAAATAACAGCTGACTGTATGGTAAGAACGGAACACATAACTGTATTGCAGCAAAAAACAGCAGGATAATTACTCATGCTAGATCACGGTAAATCAGTAAAAAAATAACGTCGAAAGTTTTTATTTTATGTTAATGTTTAAATTCCGTCATCCTGAAAGTCTTTAATGCTGTTCACCCTAGCGTCGGGTGGTTGGACAGCCAGCACAGTCACATCACTCGATAGGAGTAAATCGGGCGTCTTACTCACACTACGACGATAGATATTTAGATAGAAAAAAAACAAAATCCACGAAAAAGTACATCGTACTGCTAAGATAAATTCGCATTTAACTTCTGAACGGCGGGAACAAACACTATTATAAAGATAATTATCTTTCAACTGGCGATAACACTATAATTACAAAACTACCGTGGAAACTTTGCCTGCTGTTAGCAAAAAGTACGAATATTCTGCAGAATAATCTTTATGGCATGACAAAAAGAAAAACTGCAGTGCACTAACTTTGCGCGTGTTGTCATAAACTTTACTTTGTAGAAGCTACTTGAGTGTAGTTATGACAGAAAAACCTAATTTGTTCTTTATAACATACTAAAGATGTTTTATAAAATAAATATTCATCCCAAATCGGTCCATTATAGACACCAATAATTGAAACCCATGTCAACTTGGAGCATTTTGTTTTTTACTTTTTCGAAAATTTAAATTAGACGCATTCATGTAAATTCCATATAAAATTTAAATTACTTCCTAACTCTATATTTGTTCAGATAATAATATATTCTTATTTTAATTTGAATCCTGTTTGAACATAAATGAAAGTTACGAGACTCTTAGGAAGGCGCTCGTGTTCCTAATATCACATTCATTAAGTGAATTACGTGTGAAACTGCCTCAGGGGCTCACAGCGAGCCTCTTACACACTAGGCGGTATTAACTGAGCTCCTACACACTGTATTGTACTCTTTGCACATTACATTATGAATTCACATAGATGAAATAAAATCAAATTTGTACTGATCCGAATGGGCTACAGGTATTTGGGAATTTACTCAACTTAATGAATATAAAAAAAAAAAACATCGCATTATGTTTTCTTTTGTTTTCTTAGCTAAAGTTGACAGATGAGTACATCTATACTAATATCTACAGTGATTTTTACGGATGTTCCGTTATAACTACTGAACCGTGCATCCGATTGACTTGAAACTTGGTATCCATGTAGAAAATACATGTACTTAATGGATAGGCTAATATTTATATGAGTGTTGGACTCCCCTACACCAGTTTCGGGGGCAGTAATGATGAGAATCTTTGCGGGGGTGAGAAATAATAATGTTAATTTTAAATGCCCAGCAAAGCGAACGGGTACAGCTAGTGAACTCATAACTGAGTCCAAGGTAAATATCGCCACATTTTGAGATATGAGGTCGAAGTTGTATTGTAACAATAGATAAAAATATAGATTTGTATGTAGTGTAATATTAAGAAGATTCTATTTCTTTTAATCTTTTGTTCCAAAAACAGATTTGTATTTATAATTATTTTTTATAATAATTATAGAATCTTCAGAAACCAAAGTGGGAGACTTGAATGACTAATTAAAAAGAAGCATTTTTAGAGCTATAACTCTGATACTTTCTATAACTCTGATACTTGTTGAAGTTCAATTGATTAATTTTTTTATGATTGAAGGACTATATTGGTATCCCGGAGGCCTTTCCTAAGATTAACTAGCAGCTGCCTGAGCGCCTCCGAAGGAGACCTAGTGACTCAAAAGCAGCTGCTTCGCGAATGAATCTACTACCGGATTGGAATCGCGACCCGCTGTGAAGATCCGGCGAGAAACTCAGCGAGCTGATGCGTGAGCTAAGTTGCCCGTCGAGCTCTTTGCCGAGTTCGGCAAGTACGGCTACCGGGGTCCCTAAGCCTGCTCCTAGCGTTAGACCTGAAGGCGTCTAATGCAAGAGTTATTGGATCTGATGGATCCGTAAGGACATATTTAGAGCGTCGACGGTGACTGGTTTCTGCGTGATTAGGATTCGGGGAGTAGTCAGCGTTGGCAACGATAAAGCGATTATCATGACGCATTTCCATATCGAAGTAATGCTCCGACGCTGACTTCAAGTGTTTTCGGATCGATTCGATGCCCAGGTCGTCGTGTAAGTCACGAACCACGGAGCTACAACGGCTAACTTGCAAAACCGGGATTATCCGCTTACAGATCACGAGGTAGATAGAGTTTGCCGAGAATAAACGCGGCACAGTCGCAGATTTATGATTGATTATTTTGAGTTTGCATTATATAAGTATTTCGTTAAAACGTTAAGATTTTTTATAAAAATAGTTTATCATCAACCTCTATTTTCAATGCTAAGCGTCCTCTTATAGAGTGGTGAAAAGTTTCAGAGAAATAACATCTCTTTGCCTCATGCCGATCAGTTCTATAGTATTGTATTGAAATATTGCTTGAATTCACTGTAATACTAGTTCGTTCCACTAAAACAATGAACATGTCACCTACACAGGGCAGAATTCAAACTAACTTAAATAAGACAACTTTGTGCAAGTTATTCGAAGTTTCCAGGTAGGTTTCCACATTCATTTCGTTATCCACATTCTTCATACAACAAAACAGAATGTTTATCAAGCGGTATCCACAACAGACTTGTCTCAGTAATTTCGTTCTTTACCAATTATTATTATATTATTATCGGCGGTCATCGGTGATCAACTTTATGTAAACACCATTAATTAATTATATTGAATTTGTACATGCTACTCGTAATACTAGAACTTCAAATATTGAGTGTTATTTTAACATTAATTCTGACAGTGTCAATGTAATCAATGTAAATATTTGGAAGATGACATGTAATATTTAGGAAGTGTGAAAGTTATAACTAGAGAAAGATAATTCAAACGAATACTGTGTGATGAAAGGTATAGATATAACAAGGAAGATAAGACTGTATATAAGAATGCCAAACTAAGAAAATAACCAATGGGTTTGTGTAGAAAATGTTAGATACAAGTTTTTATGAATTGATAGATTAAATAATAATTGTGACGAATAAGACAGGAATAAATTGATTAAATAATATGATCAATTTATTCCTGTCTTATTCGTCACAATTATTATTTAGTATACAAAATATAAAGGAGAAAGATAATGCATAATTATTAAGGATACCACGAAAATAAGTCACTAAAAACATAAAAAGATTGAATTGGAAAACATTTGGTAATAATTATGTTTAACAGATGTGGCGAGGAAATAGCGTTCGTGTTTCCAATCAATGTTGTATAATAGATCCTATACAATTGTTCGTTGATGAATCTTTTATTAATATGTGAGAAGATTGCACTCACCACATGTTTCCCTGCGAAGGTCTTTGTCTCCATTGTTACGAGTTTTCTCACTGCTTTGCACGGCGTTATTGCCCTGTACAATATTGTTACGGCTTAATACTTGGATCATAATGGATAACGATGTCTCTGTATTAACGATATATCATAATCTTTTGATTTCATTACAGTCATGAAAATAAAGATCACGTTCGAATAATTTAGTTAATTAATTAATTGTTGACTGTGGTTCAATTTTGGATATCTATACTAATATTATAAAGAGGAAAGATTTGTTTGTTTGTTTGTTTCGAATAGGCTCCGAAACTATTGGACCGATTTGAAAAATTCTTTATCCATTAGAAGACGACATTGTCCCTGATGAACATAGGCTACTTTTTTTTTTTTTTTTTTTTTCATGTGTGTTTTAATGTTTCCGAAGCGAAGCGAGGGCGGGTCGCTAGTTAGAATATATATTGCATTATCATTTTTTTTCTTTTGCGATTGAAGAATTACTGGTGGCTTGGAGACCTTTCCAGTTTCACCAGGACAGGTGACAGAAATGATCATATCGAGGGTTGAAAGGCAATTTAGTTTAAGCGACGTTTTTTCAACTTTACGGGAGAGCCATTTAAAGCTTAAAATTTGAAAAAAATATCATAAGAAAAATACTTTTTCAGCTATTTCATTGTACTGGTGGTAGGACCTCTTGTGAGTCCGCACGGGTAGGTACCACTACTCTGCCTATTTCTGCCGTGAAGCAGTAATGCGTTTCGGTTTGAAAACTTATATCTCAAGGTGGGTGGCGCATTTATGTTGTAGATGTCGATGGGGTCCAGTAACCACTTAACAACAGGTGGGTTGTGAGTTCGTCCACCCATCTAAGCAATAAAAAAAAGAAGAGTAAACTTAGTTGAAGTTCAATAAAAAACATCGAACTATTGATGCTAATACCAAATAAAACGCACCTTTAATTACAAAGATGGCTGTCGCGTATTAAGCGAAATGTACCCTAAACCAAGCCTTTCACCCCACGATATTCTTAACGAAAACGGTAGACAGTTACATAATCATATTGAAATGTCAATAATTTATTGTAAGCTATATTTTATTGCGTAGACGGAAGAACGAGGACAGGGCCCGACTGGTCTAAAGAGGTTACAGGAACAAAAAGATATCACAACGTGAATGTCACCACCCATCTTGAGACATGCAGTCGATTGTATAACTGATTGTATCAAAGCGAAAAGCATGACTGCTTCGCGGCAAAAATAGGCAGGCGTGCATACTTACAATACGGCCTGCCAAAAAAATTCAGGTGATTTAATTAAAAAAATGTTTCATAAGTTAAGAATTTGCTTTAGTATCGCTTTAGTACATATTTAAGTGCCTGTTATCAGCTCACTTTTCCTTATGCCTATAATATCATATTTTAACTTTCATTCATGCGACCGTGATCTACTTCTGAAACCTGAACTTAGGTACTAATTTTTTATGCCAAGAGAAAGGCCTCGTGTATCCAAATGGTGGCGAGACTGACATTTCAAAGTTCGTAAATTCCAGTGACCATTAAACGCCAGGTGTACTGTTAGCATGTATGTCCAATCCAAGTCCAATCCAAAAACCAATCGAATCATTGTTGAAATAGCCATAACGTAGTTCTATTTTCACCGGCTCGTGTAGACCAACAGTATTATAATACCCCTTAACAGAATTCTCTTTTTATGGAGATGGATTGTAAAATGTCAAGGTAAAACCCTCCTCTCTTAATTTTTTTGGTAAATTTAATTACATACATATGTGAAAGTTCATTTAAGTGGCAAATTAACAATAGGTAATCAGACACTGACCACAATCTATAGTACTTGTAAGCGATCTTATTTTGATTCAAAGACATTTTCTGAAATTATATCAGCTTTTATCAGCGTTTTCGCTCGTTTAGAAAAAAAAATATCCCTCGGGAATAGTACTTTTTTTGGATGAAAAGCACTCTATTTGTTTTTTGTTCACCTTACAAATTGTTTGGTGATGATGATCGGTTGAGTAGTTAAGATTTGAAAGCGTAATAAACAAACAAAAAAACAAACTCACTTTCGTATTAATAATGATAGATGCTATAAGTATAGATTATATGGGAAAGAAAATTGAAACAATCTAATACTTTTTTACGTTAAGCTGAACAGTAATCACGACGCAATTTCATAGGTGGCTAGCCATTGTCCGTTATTTGTGTAATCCACTGTTGATCGCTCATTGATTTTGGCCTCAAATGACGTCACGCGTAATGAAGGTGCTTTCATCGAAGTCTTTTGAAATGAGAACTGTCCAGTCCTCTAATATAAAACACACAGCAGGTGTTTTTATTACCTATTCTGATTCCTATGTTAATTGACGGGCGGTTACATAACCAAGTAGTAGATGTGGAGTAGAACAAAGAAGTGGATTTGTATGTACAGTTGTTGTTAATTATTTTTATCAGTTATTTGGCTGAGGTCAAGTCATGATAACGTTACGTATGGATGATGGAATATAAGCACTTTTTATTGGGTTCCAACACGAGATTCCATTAATTACGTCAGAGTCAAAATCTGGGACCGGCGATAATATTAAACCAACTGAACAGAACACGTATCACTTCGTATCATAAAAATGTAAAAATTCATTTTGTTTTTATTGTATTTTTAAGCCGTTAATATCAATTTAAAGGACGCGCTGTGAAACGATATGAATTGAAAAGATCAGTGAGCCGGTGAATTGCGTGATAGCTCCCACCGCTAACGGTTCGGAGGCTCGCTGCCTTTATCCTGCTCAAACAAATAGGCATTTATATTGCTCAACGATTCTTATGACCAAACCGAGAATTTTTTGCTTGTTTTTTATTTTATTTTTTTATTGCCTTTGTAGGCAGACGAGCATACGGCCCACCTGATGGTGAGTGGTTACCGTCGTCCAGGGACTTCAGCAATGCCAGGGGCAGAGGCAAGCCGCTGCCTACCGCTTAATACTCTCCACAAGCATCTTTTGAAGAAGGACATGTCATACCGCTCGGGAAACCCCGTGGAGGGGAGCTCATTCCGTAGCCGGATGGTACGTGGCAAAAAAGACCTCTGGAAACGCACTATCGATTAACGCAGTGGTTCCAGATAATATGGATGAACTCTGCTCCGATGGCGGGAGGTGCGATGATAAAAAGAGGATGAAGAGATCATCTCAGACAATTCTTTGCTTCAACCAATACGGAATTATTTTTGTTTTATGACACACAAGTTGCTGATATCAACAAGGAAGTAGGTTGTAATGTAAGTTCAATCTGGAATAAACTATGTTTCTGAACAAACATCTTGCCTAACATGTTAAAGTATTTTACAATGTCAACAACTTTTTAAAACCAAATTCATCATGCCTAAAGTTATTGAAAATATGAACTATTTAAAATAAATGTAAGAGAGTACCAACAGGCTTATGATTATCTTGCGCCAGTTCTAGATCCTTAGTAGCTTTGATCATCCGATATCTTCTCTCCAAGTACCCCTCGTAGAATGAAGCCACCAACATCAGTACACAGACTGCCAAAGTCACCGATCTGTTTAAGAGACAAAGGTTATTTTAGAGATGTAAAAATGTAACTAAATTACTGACTCAATTTTTAATGTAAACATAATTGATGATGAGAGGAAAAGGTAGACCTAAGGAGAAATGGATAGATTGCGTGAAAGACGATATGTGTAAGAGAGTGAGCGAAGAAATGGTATATGATAGTGGAGTTTGGAAGGAAAAAACATGTTGCGCCGACCCCAGGTGACTAAGAGAAGACCAGGAGAATGATGATAATTGATGATTTATATTTATACTTAGAATTACACGGAGACATAAAATCAGAATAATTATTAACATTACCAACAAACTAGATTGAATAATCCAGTTAAAAATGTAATAATTTGATGATTATTTATTAACTACTAGTCAAACTTGTCAGGTTCCGCGCCGCTTACTGACAGTAACCATGTTAGCGATTATTAAAGTTTCGTTTTAACTCATCGTTTTGTCGTTTTAACTCAGTCATATTTAATTCCTATCAGAAGATATAATAAGTTTATCGATAACTAGCGGCCAGCTCCGGCTCCGCTCGGGTCTTTAACAAAAATTTTAACGATATTTGACGTTGTTTTATTTTTTAAAATACTAGAACACTTATTGCGGCATAACTATAATAGTTAGACATAGGCTTTTTGTAAATAATAATGTCTTCTACAAAGTCGTAGTACATCATTTTATTCTATCATGAATAGTTTTCGCAGGGCACGCGATGTAAAGAATATTTTAGGTAATTTTTTTAGACCTTGGGTTATAATACATTATTAGAGTTTTAGTAAGGGTCTCTAATTTTTTTCAAAAAAGATTATTATAGCCTATGTCACTCGGGAATAGTGTAGCTTCCAAACAGTGAAAGAATTTTTCAATTCGGTTCAGTAATTTCGGTGCCTATTCAATACAAACAAACAAACAAGTCTTTCCTCTTTATAATATATAATAGATAATAAGTCGAAAATAATTGCGGGACGTTAAGCTTAAATAGTTAATTGAACTATTACGACTAGACTCGAAACAATCTGTATCTGACACCACAGCCTTGCAGAGATGATCTAATAGCCTCATCTTTCCGGTTTGAAGCGCCACAATTCGCACGCTACATTTCGGTAGATTTGTTGCATAAACATTATTATAGGTCAAGTTTCTTATTCGAATACATTATTGTTATTTCAATATCATCTACATATTTTATTATATCTGTTTACAAATCACCAAGCAAATAAATTATCTCTTGGACGCTATCTCAACGCAATCATTAACTCGTGAAATTATTCAAATTGGAATTTTATTGGGAATCAGAACGAAGAATCAACGTAAATCACGACAATTAAAAAATACAACATACTTTGAATAAGTGTTGTCTAGGAATACATGGTATTTATGCGATGAGATCTTAGAACTCATATCTCAAAGTGGGTGGCGACATTTACGTTGTAGATGTCCATGGGCTCCGGTGACCACTTAACACCAGGTGGGCCGTGAGCTCGTTTAACCATCTAAGCAAAAAAAAATATAAAAAAATAATGGAATGAAAATATTCAAATTGACTATGCGACGGTGTTTTTTTTTTTTTTTTTTTTTTTNTGTCGGCAGATGTACCACGAACACAGAAACAACAAAAGGAAACAAAACAAATAAAAACTTCCAGAAAGAGCACTTAGTCGGCAGATGTACCACGAACACAGGCCGCGCGAACAATGGCCGGGCTAACAAAAGCCGGGCGAACAAAGACCGGGCGATCGAGTGGACGATGAGCACGTCCGCACGTGACGGGTGCCTCTATCGGAATGCGACGGTGTACAATCAACATGATTAGTGAGTATGCACCATCGGCGTACCACCTTATTTATCTATTCAGTGGGCGTACCCAATGAATTTTCTTACAGGGAACATTCAATCAGTCGATTAGTGAATTATTTTTGTAATGTCATTACAATTATCTATATTTCTATACTAATATTATGTATATAAAATCTACAGTGGTTTTTACGGATGTTCCGTTATAACTACTGAACCATGCATTCCAATTGACTTGAAACTTGGTATCCATGTAGAAAATACATGTACTTAATGGATAGGCTAATATTTATATGAGTGTTAGACTCCTTACACCAGTTGCGGGGGCGTTAATGATGAGAATCTTTGTGGGGATGCGAAATAATAATGTTAATTTTAAATGCCAAGCGAAGCTCACGGGTACAGCTAGCACACTATACTAGTATGGTCATACAGTTTCTAAAACAAAACAAAATCTAGTAATTTGAATTCAATCTTTGCTTGTTTTTTTCAGTTTGGCCAGGTGTACTTTCATTAATGGACAATTTATATATGTATTCTATTTGCATTAATTGAAATAAAGCATGTTATCTAAAAGCGTTTATATATTATTTGTTTTCGCTTTGGATCGGCTCCGTTGGCGTCTGGCTTACCCAGTTCATTATCGTAAGTAACGATAAAGAATTAGGACGCACTGCTTAAGCACGATAGTTAATGTAGGACTGTGAACTTGTTTTTTTCGGATAAATAGGTATATTAAAAACAAGCCTGTATTGTGCCTTTAAAATAGTTATTTTATCAATTATTTTTGAGAAAAACAAATGTCACAAAAAATGCAATTGAATGAATGATTGAGTGAATGAATGATGATTTGACAAATGTAACTACTAGGTAGGCAGTGGTTTGGCTGTACACCTAGCATTACTGACGTTCATCATGGACGGTAACCACTTACAATCACATCATCAATCAATAATCACCATCGATCAATCATCTATATAAGACGTCCGCTTTGAGTTTTAGATAATATTGTATTTACATATTCAAACTCGTGCCAAATACCTGTGCAGCATGATAAGAGGGTATGCTCCGCCGACCGCATATTATATGGGATAAGTACATGAAGATGAAGATTGTTTTTTTTTTTTTTTTTTTTTTTTTTTTTTTNACCCTCGGGGGTAGGCTGGAGAGCGACTAGAACCATATTATATGGCTCCCTACCGCGACCGGTGTGCATACGGTGCACAGAATTCACTGGTAGGCCTTGTTCTAACAGGTCGGCTTTTACGAGCTCTACATCTAACTCTTTAGGGATTCCGCGTATTACAACGCGGAGTTCGCGCTCCTCCTGGAGCGTATACGTATGGAGTGAAGATTGTGTTTACATACATCGCTTAGCAAAAGCAATAGCTTTAACATTGTCTTTTGTGAAATCACTTTTAACTTTTTTTTATTTTTTTTATTGCCCTTGCAGGCAGACGAGTACACGGCCCATCTGATGGTGAGTGGTTACCGTCGCCCATGGACTTCAGCAATGCCAGGGGCAGAGCCAAGCCGTTGCCTACCGTTTCGTTGCCTTGTTTTAAGGCAACGAATAGTTATTGAAACACAGAACAAAAGACCTGAACAACTCCAAATATTAAATTTCTTTTTTCGTTGAAAAAAGTTCGTAGCCGGCTATGGAATGAGCTCCCCTCCACGGTGTTTCCCGAGCGCTATGACATGTCCTTCTTCAAACGAGGCTTGTGGAGAGTATTAAGCTGTAGGCAGCGGTTTGGCTTTGTCCATGAGCGACGGTAACCACTCACCATCAGGTGGGCCGTATGCTCGTCCGCCTATACGGCAATAAAAAAATTAAAAAAAGTTTGTCCACTCTAGGTAGAAGTATCGGTCGCTCGACAGCAAAAAATGTTTAGTTATTGGGTTCTTGTAATTTATAATAGTAAAGTATTTCAGGCGTTCAAAGAGTCATCTGTCTGTTCATTTGATTACTTACTGTGACGTCAGAGACAGGCGTTAGGAGCAGCGAGATTAATGTACGTACTAACTGTGTTGCGGTTTGAAGAACCACATTATCTCCGTACATAATGTAATAATTATTACGAGCATCGCAGACTGTTACAGAATTAACAGCGGTTAGTTATACACTGATCACATTATGCGTCTACTGCTTACACATTTGCTTTGTACGTATTTGTTTGCCTCCTGAAATCTGTAAACTACAGAATAGAATAGAATAGGTACTTTATATTTTTTATTTGAGAATATGGAATATGCGATTAATTCCTATAATGACATTTAAAAAAAGAACAGTTAAGTTTTCAAAAACTAACGATTTATAGCTACTACCTAGCAAATATAACATAAATAACAAAATACTTTTATTTATATAAATTTTACTGCTCATGGTTTTTTTTTTTTAATATATTGCGCGTTCCCCTGACGAGTAATTTGTCAGGGACATTTTTTAGGCTATTTGCTATTTTTCCAATTATCTTTTTTTTTTTACTATTTGTAATGTTGGATTCATGTTTCGTTTTCCATAATTATATAATATTCGTTTCTGTTCCCTTCTTATACTTATACTTTAATTCCCTTATATTTTACTTATATGCCTATTATTATACATTTTATTTCTTCACTTTTTTCCGATAATGTTAAATGAGCTCATGGCCTAACTGATGTTAAGAAGCAATCGGAGTTTATAGACATTTCAACGTGAATGCACCCACCTACCAAGCGACATGAAGTCTCAATGATATTTTATAATGGTTATCATGCTCTTCAAGCAGAACTCTCGACTGGTTCGCTGCAGAAATAGGCAGGATAGTATCTACCTTTAGGGGGTAACAAACGACAAGTACATGTGTGGGCAGTTGATGATGATACAAATATGTGTTAGTTTATTAGCTTACTAGAGATACACGGACAAAAGATAGACATTAGAAACAGCAACATGGGAAAGACTGATAGGCAAAAGAAAAAGAGGGCGTTCAAAGAGCAGATGGATCGACGAGATAATATCAATAAAGCAATATCAATAGAACCAAAGCAAAACCTAGGGAAAATGGAGTAAGCTGTAAGAAGTTTTATACCTTAGTCTTATACGAAGTAGGGTTCTATTTTACTGGTGGTAGGATCTCTTGTGAGTCAGCGCGGGTAGGTACCACCGCCCTGCCTATTTCTGCCGTGAAGCAGTAATGCGTTTCGGTTTGAAGGGTGCGGAATCGTTGTAACTATACTGAGACCTTAGAACTTATATCTCAAGGTGGGTGGCGCATTTACGTCATAGATGTGTATGGGCTCCAGTAACAACTTAACATCAGGTGGGCTGTGAGCTCGTCCATCTATCTAAGCAATAAAAAAAAGAAAAAAAAAGAACAAGTTTTATATTGGTAACTTTTAAGAAAAAACCTCTTTTGTACGGTTGTTGGAAATAAAAAGGGCTTATTATTTATTTTTATTACTTTACTAACTAAACGTATTTATATTATAATATTAACTCTACATTCATAAAGCGAGCAAACAAGGCTTGTGCTTGCATGAATGAATTTCAATAAATTTCTCTGCTCCGATGCTCCTTTCAAATAGAAAACTATTGGTAAGTACTCGGCAGTCTACTCTGTCGGGCATTTAATAAAAGGAATATAATATTTGACATTAGCAAATAAATTGCATAGCTTAGTACCTACATATATATATAAATTACGTGATACTTAAATTTTAGTTGTTATACATATGTTTGAAATTTCCGGAATAATTATTTTACCTATTTAGTAAATATTGTGGAAAGCAATGTAACGTATTGCCAGAAACGTATTAAGGAAGTTATTTTTTTATTGCTTAGATGGGTGGACGAGCTCACAGCCCACCTGGTGTTAAGTGTTTACTGGAGCCCATAGACATCCACAACGTAAAAACGCCACCCACCCCGAAACACTTTCTAAGGTCTCAAGTATAGTTACAACGGCTGCCCGACCCTTGAAACCGAAACGCATTACCGCTTCACGGTAGAAATAGGCAGGGTGGTGGTACCCACCCGCGCGGACTCACAAGAGGTCCTACCACCAGTGAATTAAGTATTGTTTATAAAAATTCGATAAAAAATAAAATGAATATACGTGTACACTTGATTTTTTTACCTATTTACGGCCATTTTAGTTTTAATTGCAAAACTAATCTGGTTTGACTGCCGTGACATATTCTTCTTCGGGCGGAGTTTGAAAATAGCCTGAGGCAGTGGACTATAGCTTGGCTGTGCCAACGGTATCGCTCGTGTCCATGGGCCATATTAACAACTCACCATGAAATGGAATGCATGCTTTAAATGCAATGAATAAAATACTAGAACCTTCTAGAATACTAAGAAACTCATTACAAACTCTAGCAGCTGTGTTATCAAAACAGTTTTGCCTAACATTAGGTTCATTGGCCCCTACCATGAATGCCGCCTCACGACCAGTAATTGTACATACCCTAGTATTTGGAACTTGATGTCGGAGTATACGTCATATCCGCCCGGCACCGGTCTGACTACTAGCGTAACGAGACTGGCTGAGACTCCCAAAGCTGAAGCTTTCGCCACAGTAGCCTGTTCCGACGCTTGTAGTAAGACGCCCAGGGCATCACCACTGCAGGATGCTGGCACACATTCTCCTAACAGCATCGATCTGCTCTGTACACAGAAAAATGAAGTGTTAATCAAAAAGAAACAAAAAACATCGGTAATACCTATATAATCGCTCATTATAAATTACTACTCTACATTTTAATGCCTCTGGAACCTCTGGGTCTGCGGAGGGACTTCGTATTTTGTACCGTATGTATTCCATGGGGAGTGCTCTGAGGAATTGTTCGAGATGATACCGGCATCTCGTTTTTACCATCGCACCGCCCGCTACCGGAGTAGAGTTCATCCATATTACCTGGAGCCACTGCGGTCATCCACAGTGCGTTTCCAGAGGTTTTTTTTACCACGTACCATCCGGCTATGGAATGAGCTCCCCTCCACGGTGTTTCCCGAGCGCTATGACATGTCCTTCTTCAAATGAGGCTTGTGGAGAGTATTAAGCGGTAGGCAGCTGCTTGGCTCTGTCCCTGGAATTGCTGATGTCCATGGGCGACGGTAAACACTCACCATCAGGTGGGCCGTATGCTCGTCTGCCTACAAGGGCAATAAAAAAAAATGCAAAGGTACTAAACGTTAAATGATATTTTACTGCATTTTACTGTGGTAAAATAAAAAAAAATACGTAAGTGGAAAATTGGAACGAGTTTAAATAACACAACTTAACTTTGGTGTAAATATTTCAAACTGTTCAATCTTGCGTTCGACCGTGAAGCCGAAAGGAAATTGAATTCACTGTAAAAATACGTTCTCAAATTGATAGATATAATGAAAAGTTGAAAGAAATTGAAAAGAAAAAAAAACAACGATCGGAATTCGAATGTTTCACTCCATTTACACGAATAGGGTGGAACTTTTGCCATGTAGTCGGCCACTAAAACTTCTATATTAGAGTTTTTGACGTGCGTTACTCGAATTCTATTTGCCCTGAAAACATATTACCTTTTTTTGCGAACTCAAAACTCTATTCGGGAAACGGCTTCATAACGAATGTCGTGGCGTTTAAATTTATTTATAGCGTGAGACTATTTTGAATGTATTTGTTTTTAGTTTCGCAATCATGGTTTTGATACGCGCACTATTATTTAATGAAAAAAAAAACGGTGTATGTGATGTAGTATAGTTGCGAAAGCTTAAAACAGTTATAATAACCGGCAAACTTCTTGAGCATTTGTTGACGTAGTGGGGGTAAGTTTGCGCATGGTACACTCACGTGCAAAAACATTACTTACTCTGCGTCATAATGCTATTAAATTATTAAAATCAACATATGTATTTATTTATATATTTATTAGAACATGAACAAAACATATAGATTAATAATTGTAATAATTTAATCTTGGGGTAAAATAGATATTCCTTCTATTAAGTCAAAACTAGAGCTGTTGCCAGGTCTTGGTTCAGTTAAAGCGAAGCTGGTATTTGTAATTTTTTTTTCGTTATCATAATCTTGACCATCATCATCATCACTGTTTTCATCACCCGAGTCGCTATCATCGTGATGAGTCGACATAGGGCTCATCGGCGTAGTTTACAACTCGGTCGATTCGGTCTTCTTTTTTGTCTATAATTAATTATTTTTTGAAGATATTCGATTCGTAGTAATCGAATGTTACTTTTTTCATTTACCAGCTTCCGATTATTTTCTGTTCTTTTTTTCCATCTGAAGCCTAGCTCTTTCATAATTCGTCGTAAGCTTCATTCCGAGCCATTAAAATTTATATCTTCTTTAAATTTTTCGAAGCCTTTCTACGGTACGGAGTTTCGCTGCTTGTTATGTAGTTATTATGATTACATCTTTTTATTACAGATTGAACGAAACTATCCATTCCGGTAACTTTCTTCTTCCCTGATCTTTTCTTACCCGGAGTCCGAAACACGGCGAGCAAGCCAGAGCCTTTAGCTTCGTTAATAATGCACCTAACAGTACTCACTGATGTTTTTGTTGCTTCCGAAGTCTGTTTTAATTTTTCCATATCATTCTTCCCCTGTTTTATAATGAAGCAATATACGTCGTACACAAATTTTCTACCCTTTCTTTTAAGTACTACACCAGTTTGTCACGGCATAGTGTATGTTTTATAAAAAATCAACAAACACTCAACAAATAGCAATGGCAACAAAGTCCACAAGCAATTATAACAAATAACTTAACGATTAATAACGATAGACTTTCCACTGTACGCAAGCGTACTTTTGGAAGCAAGCGGAATGAGGGCGCGGTGCGGGACGCAAGGTTCGACTGATCTACCAATAACGCGCTCGATACGATTTCCCCTGCCGTCGCGCCTCACCCTCACCACCAAAGTGATCTAAAATTCGGTTCTGCGCAGTCAAGGTCATTTGCTCAAGAAGTTTGCCGATTACTATATTATATGTTTTTGTATTCCAACTTGAACATCAACACTATGATAAATGATAATAATAATTTAATAACTAAAATATATTATTAAAAAAAAAAAATAAGGATAAGAAAAATAACGAGGCTTGGAAACGGTTACCGGCTCAGCAATGCCTAACAGTAACGAAACAATCGGTACTAAGGCCCTGATCTTCCGCTGGCACCTGCGGAGTGACGTGCACACCAGCATCAGACCGACCAGAATCATTATGCACTTGAGTTTAAAAGGAGTTCCTTTATGTAAGGTTCCGAAGATACTGGCAGCGTTCCCCCTTTGAATAGCTAGACTAAATCTTTGTCCAAGGTAGCTGCCAGCTCTTCGGTCTCCTGTGATGTCGACTAACCTTTTTGCTATTTCCTTAAAAAGCCTTGCCTTATGATAAATTAGACTTTTTCCGTAGATAGGTCAACGAGCACACGACCTACTTGATGTAAAGCGCTTACCAGATTTCATAGATAAATGCCGCCAACTAAGTTATGACATGAGGTCTGTGTTTCAATTGTATTGTATAAAGTGTGTTACGCCCTTCAAACCAGCACGTGTAGCTAATTCGGGGCAGAAATAGGCAGAATTGTGGTACTCCGCCCTACCACCTAACTAACTATCTCACCGACCTACCACCAGTAAATCTAGGTTCTATGTACATATATAATGTTACCATTCCAACGTGGGGTTCAAATTTTTGCTCTAAGTATTGTTTTTTTTTTCACAAAAAACTTTTTTAATCTTTAGGGTTACGTGCTTTTACTAATACAATTCAAGCAGAAACACAAATAGTCCCGTTCATTTTCATCCCATTTTCAGTTTAATAATGAAAATATTGTTACTAAAATTATTTCCTATTCTTGGTCGCTTACTTCATCTATCTCTAAAAAGCCTTGATTGTTTTATCTAAGAAACTCGTATATTTCATTAGATTCCCGACTCCTCTGAGGGTAGTCGTAACTGTAACTGTTTTAAATTATTCACAATTACCTGCGGCAGATGAAAGTTGTCGACGGTGACATTGATTTTCGCAACGTAAAATGTGGTTGCGAATGGAGGAGTTTGCTCATAGTACTGTTTCTTGTTAAGCTCCGTGCAAGCGTTCAACGACCCCAGCCAATACTCATTCCCGAATAGTAGATTCGGTCCGTACTGGCCCGACGCGTCGAATACTGAAATTTAAAAATATTAAATTAATGAATTAAAGCTAACATTGCGTATATCAGAGGAAGTGTGAAAGTAGCCCCGGTAATCAACAAATTAAAGAGCGGACGGTTAGCGTGGTATGGACATGTGATGCGTAGAGAGCAGATGCATGTGATCAGGAGATGTATGGAAATGGTAATGCAAGGTATAGGGGGAAGAGGTCGACCGAAGAAGACATAGATGGAGTGTGTGAATGACGATATGAGAGAGAGAGGAGTGAGTGTTGAGATGACGGCTGATAGAAGAGAATGTAGGAGAAAAATTAACTGTGCCGACCCCATCTAGTGGGATAAGGTGGATAAAAAGAAGAAGATTGCCATTAATGCTGCCATTTTGCCAGCATACTACTAATGTTGTTGATTAATGACAGACAGACAACAGTTCACTACTTTTATTTATTCAGTTTATTTGAAGTAACAGTAAAATAATATTTTATAAGCTCCCTACATAAAATTAATAAAAAGAATCAGGCCACTTTAGAATTATTCCCCTTTTTTTGACTACCAATTATCATATGTACAAGCCTCTTTTTAGTAATTTTAATCTATAAACGCATGAATTTTTACATTACTAACAAAGAATTGGTAGAAAGTCAGGATTTTTACAATAAGAAATTCAGTAATATGCGGTTTTAAATAGTAGGGATATAGTTAATGAGTTGCTGGAATCGTAGGTAAAAGATAGTAGCCAGAAGAAGTCCTTTAGTCGTCTTTTACGACACCCGCGGGAAACATGGGTCAATTAAATTCTAAGCCAGGAAACAAACGTCCACAAAACAAAATTGCCCACCTTGATTTTATTATTATCTCTCAAACATATCGCTATTACGAAAAAAAATAACGAAGCACATTATTTGCCTTTTGTCCAAAACTCTTATTAACCATTAACAATTGAAACGTTAACATAAACCATTAACGTTATCGCTGATGAGAGGAAACAGCCGCAAAAAGGCGAATTCGTATTTCCCGAAAGAACGCGCCCGGACTCACAAACACTAAATGCTGACTGTTATCTTATATTTCATGATATGTTATAATGTCTGTTATCACAGAGCTGTTTACCGTAGCTAAGATGAGAACTATTTTGTCCCGATAAATTGACATAGATTATTTCGTATATTGCCCAAACTGGATAGACGTAGCACAGGATAGAGACGCTTGGGCATCTTTGGAGGAGGCCTTTACCCGATCCGGGGTTCTTGCTAACTAAATTTTACTGATTTATTACAAAACTCTTTTACATCCTAAATACTTATACATACATTTATATTTATTATATATCTTTTTTAAAACTTTGTAAAGCAAGAAATAAAGGGCTTATTATTATTATTATTTCGTATATTTACGAATAGGTAAATGTTGAAAAAGTTATTTTTAAAACAAACTTTTAATGTCAACCAAACCGGAGAACAACATGGATAACGACATGTCCATAAAAAATGACATCAACAATGATAAATAAAATGAACACAAAATTCGGATCACTTGGTTAATTCGTTATAGCGAGAAACTTGATGACATTTCAAAAGTTCCAAAAATTACGAGCAAGATTTATTATACAATATCACTCACTGAATTTCAGCGAGCGAAAACGTTGGAGGGAGATAATAAGTTTTCTAAAGGAGCTCAAGTTTTATTAGAAAATAACGTAGTTCGTCGAGATTAATATTCGTCAGTTCATCCAGCCGAGTATTCACGAGGATCAGGATAAATATATTCGTGTACACGAAGACCCAAACACGACCCGGATCATTGGACGTAGACTGGTTAAGAGAAACGGTTAACACCCGGGCTTAATTTGCTGGAAAGCAAATTTGTTTATGATCTTTCAAGAGATTTAGTGTTGATCCTTTTTTGTTGTTGTAAATAAGTTGATAAATTGTAAAGTTTCAGAATCAATCTTCTTTTTTGCCAATCGTTCTTTACAAAGGTGGGAAGCAACGATTCACGTATTCACGATATAGTTTCTATGGCCTTCTCTTGTACGCCACGCCATATTTGATATATAAGAAGAATTTAAAATAATAAAGCTGGTCATTCCACAGGTTCATCTATCTATCTATCTATATTCTATATCTATATATATATAAAAAATGAATCGCTGTTCGTTAGTGTCGCTAAAACTCGAGAACGGCTAGATCGATTTGGCTAATTTTGGTCTTGAATTATTTGTGGAAGTCCAGAGAAGGTTTAAAAGGTAGATATAATTAAGAAAATGCTCGGAATTAAATAAAAATAACAGTTTTATTTTTCCTTTGGTGTGTCCCCCGTCGGACGGATTCCTTTTGTTTGTTTTAAGTTTATTTTATACAAAAGTTTAGGTCTCTTATTTATCGATTGAGGCACTACGCGGTCTGCCGGGTCAGCTAGTATTCAATATAAATTTGGATGTACGTCTAAGGTATTAGTCAATACCCAATAATAATGGAAAGGTAAAAGTATTTTTGGTTACAAGGTGAGCTGGAACGTGAAGGCCGTCAGTAAAGAATCCGATATGATATTACTTACTACATTATGTACAACAAGAAGGGTTGTGCCAAAACTATTCGCTTTTATATTTTTAGAAATGTCGCAATACACGCTCGTGAAACCCTAAGGCGACACGAATCTAGACCCTTCACGTAGACTGTCGTCGGGATTTTATTCATCTAAAATGTACGGAGTGTGTTTTCTATATTACGGAATGTATCCTTTTTTATTGTCGAATTAAATTCTATGTTTGATTTCTGTTCAATTATAACCCACACTATATTATTTTCCTTTCGACCTAATTTCTGTCAAATCTTTCATAGCCCCAGAAAAGTTTTCTATATTCCACATTGACGGTTTATTTATGACTGATGTGAGAAAAAATAATAATATAAGTGTTATATTTATGAAGAAGATTACAACCTAATCTTAGGTTTTTATAAGGACAATTTTATATTAGAAAACTATGTAAAGAAATAAAAATTTAAAATATCTCAGATAACATTTAGAATTTACGAACACAAGCCTCTTATGTACAACATAACAAAGGTATACAGAAAACAATAAAAATTGATGAAAAATAATTTAGAAGTCGGGATCAATTTTTTTTTTTTTCTTTTGACATTCGTCCTTCACGGGATCCTACCAGAGTTCTTAAACCGTATACAGCTTTGAAGCTTTGTTTATATAAAGAATCCGTGCGTTCAGACCGTGCTCGGTAATCTCTTTGTAAGTTCGTCTAAGCCTCCGAAGGCAAGCCATCCGTACAATTCATCTATTGCATGAAAAGGCCGCTCATGTATTCTTCGTAACCCTTGTCAATGTCCACATTCGTTTTAAAAAGAAACTAAAGAAAGCAATATGCATTGAAAAATATCTCGGAAGTTCACTTCTTGAGCGACGATCGCTTTTTTCATTCCATATTTATTTGTTTGCGCAACAGAGATTATAAAAGTAATGAATAATGCAAATATACGTGAAGGTTTGAAGGGTAGTTTCGAACCATTTAGCACCATATAGCAATCGGATACTTTTATCTATTACGTAATCAAATTAATAAAATCTAGAGGATGACCGAGCTTTGCTCGGTATTTTATATTTTTTTGATAAATTGTGTTTTTTTAGAAATTATATTTAAATACGAATTACATATTGATATTATATTATAATATATTATTTGTTATTTTCTTTCAATAAAAAAGAAGTTTATGTTTAAGTTGATTATCGATAAAGTTGATTATTGAAAACACGAATAAAACAACAATTTCCGAAAATAAATCTTAGCTAGATCGATTTATCGCCCCCGAAATCCCCTGTATACTAAATTTTATGAAAATCTTTGGAGCCGTTTCCGAGATTCTGATTATATATATACAAGAATTGTTCGTTTAAAGATATAAGATATATATTCATAATACATTAAATGATTTGAGATTAGCATTTAGCTTGTGTTTATTTCCGAGTCTGACGGTCGCGTCGCAGCTTTCGCTCACCGCAGTCACGGTCGGTCATCGACCCATTTCGTGGTCAGTTTAATGGTTATACTTAATTCTAAACTTACGATTTCTTCGAGAGACGTAATTTTCCTACACTTATATCTCTGTTCGTTTAATTATTCAGGTCCGTCCGCTTTTTAGTATTCAGGAGCCATAGGGGTTTAATCTAATAGCCGCTATAGGGAAGCTTTTGTTTTATTTTTATGATTACCCCTTCTTTTTCTACTTATTGCTTTTGGATATTTCGGAAACGAAAAAATACAATAAAATATATACACATTATTTCGTATCTAATTTGAACTGAGCCCGTAGTAATTACGAAAAGCCAAAGAAAAACGGTGTGCAAATCAAAAATACTTTTATGCCGTGAACGGTAAACGTCATTAAAGCCTATCAGATAGACTCTATCGCTGATGCATATAGGTACGCTGCCTATCGCTGTAAACCTCATTTAAAGAAGGACATTTCTTAGAATTATGACAACACCCAATAAATCTCATTACAGGAATTCTCTCTGAAAGCATACTGCATGTACCGGTAGTAGATAAAAACTCCTCCCCAATACTACAGAAATGGGACAATGGAATCGTATCAATAACGTGCTCAGAGTACACGATCGACACACATGGTCCAAAACTCAAAGAGAATTAAAGTTAATCGTTAAGCCAAGTTAAGTAAGCATCCAAAAACATTCGTCAGACCGGAATGATCGACAAGCAATTTGAAAGCAACAGCTCAGAGATCAGAACACGCGTGTAAATTTTAGTTGCAATTAAATCAACCCTATAGGACGATTGCTGTACTTCTATCGAGAGTGAATACGGAAAAAGCGTATGTAGTGAGTATGCATTTTGAAATTTTAAGCAATATCCTGCATGTTGTATATGGAAAAGTAGTTAATTGGCTAATCACGTTGCACCATTCATTGAGTTACAGCTATTGAATTATTGATGCAACATTTAATGCGTCCAAACAGTTCGCTTGATGCTTGATTGCTAATCA